CTGTGGCTCAAGTGGTAGAGTGCTAGCCTTGGGCTGAAGAGCTCAGGGACAGCGCCCAGGCCCAGAGTTCAAGCCCCACGACCGGACCCCCCAAAAAACAAACAAACAAAAAATCTCCACAGGAAACAAAAGAAAACAGGCAAGAAATGGCTGCTAGCAAGCAGTGATTTCTCATGGAGCAACACTGCCACCTTGTGGGCGTGGTGGAGACACAGGGAAAATACAAATGTCAAGAGTGGGGTAATAGCAGTTTGGTAGAGCAACACTGCCATCTTGTGGGCTTGGAAGAAATTGTGGCCAAAGGATTTCGGTTTGAGGCATTTGAGCCCAAATTATACATAGTAGCAGCATTTTTAGTAAAGACTATTTGAAAATCGCCAGTTACAGCTTATTTTCTTGTTTGGAGAGCTAACTAATTTATAGTACAAACAAAGGTTATCTGCATTTTCAGACAGCTTAGACTGGCTGACCATGGAGGGTGTGCACAGTAGCCAAGGATAGCCCTCCCTTACCCTGGCAGATCAGACCAAGGCAGAGCAAACAGAGGAGACAGGAAGGAAGGGAGGACAAGCCTTACGTCTGGCTCATGCAGGTCTCACTGATGTTCTTGGTGACAGCTTCATAGACCGTAGGAGGCAAGGCCAGGTAGAAGAGGCGATTGGCCTGTGACCCCGGGTGGAGAGCATTGATGTGACTATTGAGGTCCTGGTAGGAGGCTGGGTCATTGTATTGGCCAGATACGTAGGAGTTGCGGGCAAAGAATTCTTCTAGCTTGGGCCTCTCTTCTGGAGTGGCCTGGGAGATATGGATAATCAGACAGGCATATGTCAATACCTCACTTCTGCTTCTTCACAGTCCATGTTTTTTTCTGCCCCAGGGACTGAAAGTTCTTATTTATGAACGTTTTTCTCTTGTTGGTCCATGGAGGTCTCTCCCTTAGAAGTCAGCTATCCTGGGCCCACTGGATGAAGGTTCACTCCATCTTGTGAGCTTTGCACCCATAGAGAGAGGACAGAGGCAGGCGGCATGAACGCGGGTGATGCAAAGTCCTCAGGCAGGGCCTGGGCACCCCTGAATCTCTAGGGCCCTAAGACTATATTTCAGGCTTCAGGGAAAATGGACCTGGGCGAAGACAATGGGAAAGAACTCTCTCCAAAATCACCACACAAACTTGCTAAGAAATGCCAACTAGTAGCATTTTCCACGGTCTTGGAAGAAGCCCCTGTGGACTGTCCTTTTTCTAGCTCTTGGCCAATTGCAATGTGGCCCAGAGCAAAGCAGGATGAGGCTAGGAAGTCTGGGTTGGAATAGGAGATCTTGGGAAAGAGACCCCTTCAGCTCCCCTTGCCCAGAGGTGCTCTTGTCATGGAGGAAGCAGTGAGGACTTTTGGGTGGCTACAGAGAAGTGGCTTTGGGGAGGTGAGGAGAGAGGCACTAGGCCTGGAGTGTCCAGGCGGCCCTGCCTCTGTGAGTCAAGGGAGAAGGGAGGGATGGAAGAGCATATCCTTTAGTGGGTCACCTGCTTAGGGGCTAGGGAAGAAGACAGAATAAGGCTGGATGACATCCCCAAACCACGTACTTTGAAGAAGGGTTCACTCTGCTTGCGGATGTCATCCACTGTGAGGGAAGAGCGGGCAAAGCCCACGATGAAGGTGTCTTCTGGCAGGAGGCCATCTCGAAACAGCCACCTGAGGACAGAATACACCTATAGCCAGGCTGGGGAGGACAAGATCACAGGGAGACCAGATGGGCAGTGGGAGGATGCACTTACCAGATGGTAGGGTAAATCTTCTTCTTGGCCAGATCACCCTGTGGCAAAGGAAACAGGTGTGTTGGTAAGAAACTAGCACATGACTAAGATCATCTCCTACCACTGGTGATCTGCGAATCCATTCAGGGTCACTATTCAGCTATAAGCACATCTGCCTGGTTCTCATACATCACCAGAGGAACCCTAAGATCCCGGCCTGCCCCTCCCTGTACTTGTGATCCACGTTGTATATATGTGTCTCCTGAATTCAAGAAGAAAGCCTGGAAATTTAAATGAATTAGAACTGAATAATGATAGGACCACCACATATCAAAACTAGTGAGATTTTGTCTTAAATCTCACATGAGCAAAAGAATGGGTCGAAAGTAACAAGCCACTCATCTACTGGGTGAAGTTGAAGAAAGAACAGCAGGGCAGGGATGGCAGCACATGGCTGTAATCATATTACTTGCTGGCTTAGACAGGAGGAATTTGAAGCCTACCTGGTACACAGAATGGAACATTAAAAAGAGAAAAAAAGACTAACAAAGCCAGAAGCTGGTGTCTAAAAAAGACTAATAAAGTCACACAAACCTGTGACATGGTGTTATTTATTTATTTTTCTGTCAGTCGTGGGGCCTGAACTCTGGGCCTGGGCATTGTCCCTCAGCTCTTCAGCTCAAGGCTAGTTCAGGAAGATACTGGGAATAAAGTGGGACAAAGCACACCCTGGAAATGCAGAGGAGCTCTCTACAAACATCTTTACTCTATGACTGGCAAAGGTTGGACTAATTTCTCTAAAAAAAACAAGCCTATAAGAATGGATTAAGGGACTCGAGCAGGGCAATGGCCACTAAAGCAATCCTTGGCATGGAGAGCATGCAAAAATCAAGGAAGAGAGAATTCCAGTTGGAAGCAGACACAAGAAAGGAATGTGCAGAATCTTGCTACTAAAACACAATGAGGAAGGCATGTGGGAAAACCGCTCAGTCTGTCTCATTTACGCACATACAGGCAGACACAGAAATCTTGTAGAAAACAGTAGCCAACAAAATCGTGCAATGAAGCCGGGCACTGGTGGCTCATGCTTATAATCCTAGCTACTCAGGAGGGTGAGATCTGAGGCTTGAGTTTTTTTTTTTTTTTTTGTCTATAGTGGGGCTTGAACTCTGAGTCTGGACGTTGTCCCTCAGCTCTTCAGCTCAAGGCTAGCACTCTACCACTTGAGCCACAGTGTCACTTCCGGTTTTCTGGTGGTTCACTGGAGAGAAGAGTCTCATGGACTTTCCTGCTTGGGTTGCCTTTGAACCATAATCCTCAGATCTCAGCCTCCTGAGTAGCTAGGATTATAGGCGTGAGCCACCAGTGCCTGGCTATTCCACCTAACTACGTTCCTAATAGCTCTCAGCTGCTGCTCAGGCTGTAGAGCCTGGCATTGCTTTGACCTATGTCCCTCTTGAATGTGGGCTCTGAGGTCATTCAGCAAGCCCAGTCGTCTCCTGCCTGTCTTGGCGTGGTGGAGGGCAGCAGCCGGGGATGTGGGGTGGGGGAGGGGGAGGCTGACCAGTGTGCATGGACAGCAACAGTGTTGAGGTGTTCATGTGGAACATGAGCCAGACTGACCTCTGTCCTTGCTCAGCAAGCTGGTCTTGATGGACACCCATGGAGTGCAGCAGTGAGTGGCAGGGACAGGCTTGAGCCTTGGGTGGGGGCAAGCCCAAGCCAGTGGGGTGTAGCACCGTGGTGGGTGTCCAGTGAGGGGGAGCGGAGGGGCACAGGACGTGATGGGCCTGCCGCCCATGGTGTTGGGGGGTAAGGACAAGGGGACAGGCGGGCTGCTGAAGGATTTAATGGCGAGGGTTGAGGTAGGGGTCATAGCTACTGCTTCTGCGTTGTGTGCGGAAGGGAGGCTGCCCGCGGGTGGAGTGAGGGAGGCCGTGGAGTAGAGTTTGTGGGGAGCAGCTGTCTGGGGCTAAGACACCGTTAGGCAGCACGGCATCCCGTCCAGCTGCTCGCCAGGAATGTTGCGTGCACCGGGCAGCGTGGCTCCGCTGGTGCACTTGTGCGTTGTGAGGCACGTGCCAATGGGCACTGGGGAGTGCTTTGCCCCGGCCCCCGCCCCACAGTCCTCAGCTTAGGCTGCCGCTCTTCCTTCTGTGGGGGCCGGAATGAGGGGGGCCGGGGTGACTGGGAGGTAGGTGGCTCAGCTAGGGCTTGCGGGAGTCCCGCGCATCCCGGCGAGGCTCGCGCTTGGCTCTGGAGGAGTGCAGCGGGGCTTCCGTGGCAGCAGCAGCAGAGAGGGGCACAGTGGTGGCCGGAGCCCAGGGCAGGAATGTCAGGCTCAGGCCAGTGGTCCCAAAGTCTTCCCAGTGTGGGGTCAGTGGCAGGAAGGACAGACACAGTGTGGCTGAGGGGAGCGCAGGTGGGGTGGGGGTGGTGTCCAGGGCTCAGAGCTTGTGGGGGTTCACCCACTTGTAGGTACCCTCATAGTGGAAGCCTACTCTCTTCATCAGGTCGTCTGCCTCTGTGGGGCCGCGGCTGGAAGCAAGACAAGATAGGCAGAGGGAAGGAAACATGAGGGATCCTCGCTTGTGGGGGTCCCCCCTTCAATGCCCCCCACCGCCTATCCTTCCCTTACCTCCCATACACATAGGGGATGGGCTGTGGCTTCTCGCTGTCAATCTTGTGCAGTAGGGGAGTGAAGATCCTCCAGGCCTCCCGGAGCTCGTCGCTGAGGGGACATGGGGTGGCTTGTGGGGAGCAGTGTTGTGCATAGCGGGGGAGGGGAGAGCACTCTCTTGCCTGCCCCCCCCCCAGATGTCTGGGGGAAGATCGCCAGGCACCCTCACCTGCGCACAAAGTGCATCTGGCTGCCACAGAAGACGTCCAGGATGAGGCGCTCATAGGCATCAGGGAGCTTGACGTTCTGCAGGGGGAAGGGCTCGCTGCCACCACGGGTATGCAACAGCCCCTCACTGCATGTGCAACAGCATGCATGCAACAGCCCCCCTCCCCAGCTCGCCCTCTCAGTGGGCACCTTGTATCTGTTGCCATAGGTCAGGTCCAGCTCCGACTCCTCGGGGTTGAAGAACATGCCGGGCTTCTTGGTCATCATCTTGGTATACACGGCCTCGTTGGGTTGCACGCGGATGACCAGCTCGTTGCGCTTGCACTGCTGGTGGAAGATGTCACCCGCCACGTCGTGGAACTGTAGCCTCACCTCTGCCTTGCGCTCATTCAGAGCTTTGCCGCAACGAAGGATGAAGGGCACCCCTGCAGGGGAGGAGTGGGCTGGCCTCAGGGCTTGGGTTTTGCACAGGCCCGGGCCATGTGCAAGTGCTTGAGTGGTGGTGTATGTGGTGTGTGTGGGGAGGGGGCATATAAAGCGGATGCACACCTACCATCCCACCGCTCATTCTCCACATAGAGAACGACCGCAGCGAAGGTGGCAGTGGTAGAGCCGAGAGGCACGGTGGGGTCATCGAGGTAGCCTTTGGCGGCTTCTCCTTCTGCGCTGGGATTCCCCACGTACTGGCCCAGGACCACGTTGTCAGCCTTCACCTCAGAGATGCACTTCAACACCTTGACCTGTGGGAAAGCCAGGGCAGGGGGGCAGAACAGGAGCCTGGGTGACAGGGCGGGTGCAGAGTGGGGGGCGTGGCTGGCAGCGCCTGCCCCCCTCCTACCTTCTCATCCCGGACGTCATCGGAATCGGTGGAAGCGGGCTTCTCCATGGCCACCAGACATAGCATCTGCAGCAGGTGGTTCTGCATCACGTCCCTGGTGGAGGAGAAGGCTGAGGCCGGCCAGGAGGATGGGGGCGGGGGGGGGGGCCTCACCTTTGCCTCCCTTCCCGCTAGCCACATGCCAGGAGGCCCAACATCCCGAAACAAGGCTTCTAGTGACAAGCTGGCAGGAGTGCTTCCACACCCCTCACACGGAGGACACCAGAGTGTGCCCAGAATGGGGGGGGGGGACGCGGGGCTGGGTGCATGCTCCTCTCTCACCTGATGATTCCAAATTCATCGAAGTAGCCCCCCCGGCCCTCAGTGCCAAAGGGCTCTTTGAAGGTGAGGATCACGCAGGCAATGTTGTCCCGGTTCCAGATAGGGCCAAAAATTCTGTTGGCAAATCTGTGTGGGGCACAGACAGAGGTGAGTGCGGGGGAGGTGGCTCCCCCTTGAGCCCCCCCCCCCAGCCCCACGTCGGGCGGGGGGGGCTCAGCCCCTACCTCAGCACCATGAGGTTCTGCACCATCTCCTTGCCCAGGTAGTGGTCGATGCGGTAGATCTGGTCCTCACGGAACAGGGACGAGATGTGGTTGGACAGCTGGTCAGAGCTCTGCAGGTCTCTCCCGAAGGGCTTTTCCACAATGATGCGGTTCCAACCTCTGTGGGGAGCCCCCAGCCAGTTCCTTCAAGCTCCTACTCCAGCAGCAGCACCCAAAGCATTGTGACCCCAACTCTCTCCCCCCTGGAGCATCAACATTGTCTCCTTGCCTTTCCAAAGAGGCCCTCACACCCATGGATACCTTCTGTCCTCCCAAGTCCTTCACTCAACCTGCTTGGGAAGGGAACCGCTCCAAGGCCTGCCTGTTTTGCATGCTACAATGGACTGCTACCTTTCTTTTCTTTTCTTTTTTTTTTTTTGTCAGTCGTGGGGCTTGAACTCTGGGCCTGGGCGCTGTCCCTCAGCTCTCCAGCTCAAGGCGAGCACTCTACCACTTGAGCTACAGCGCCACT